TTCGTAAAGCTTGTATATGAAGGGATTTTGATTTTCCGACCATTTACTCGGTGTATTAGGCAAACAAATTCTACGCATGTGTAGATGAATTCACATGCTCAGATGTGGGAAACACATGATGCGGTTATGCGTCTTTATCACATAGAATTCTATGTTTAATTGGAAGCAGGTATCATAACCTCGGAGCCCGACCTTTGTGCTTTAAATTTAAACAGGCGCTTAGGACGTAGCTAAACTTCCTTCCTATTCGCTCTTTATAAGAGGCACAAGCTAACTCTCCAATGAGTTATACAATATTATATGATACCCATCAGGGACTTACCGCGTTCCTGTATTTGAATCTTGTTTTCGCACTTTATGGTATTGCGAAGTAACTCGTTTGCAGGACAGCCAGGACCACCCGGACCAAAAGGACCTCCAGGTCCAGATGGAGTAACAGAAGATGGGCCGCAAGGGCCACCTGGAGATGATGGAGCGCCGGGACCACCGGGACCGCGCGGTCTTGAAGGACAGCCTGGGCTACCGGGTGAACCTGGCGAACCTGGCTCATGCGAACACTGCCCAGAACCACGCACGCCTCCTGGATATTAATTGAATAAGTTGTGCTGCTTATATTATTGAAGCTTTCGTAATTCATGGAATGCGTTTTTTTCCCCCTGTTAGGACCATTTTGGGAACGTGCGGGCACTACCGGCATCGCAGGGAACTATTCCTGCCCGCATATTTTTCGGTCTCTTTCTGTTCAGGGACTAATTGAGGTCATTGTTCTTGCTGAGTTCTACTAAAACACATCTTTGATAATAATTGGTCTTGGCATGAGGAGGAGAGTCATTGTACGAACACAAAACAAATGGTTGTTTTGCGAACCTAAATTTCGCAAAAAGTTCACTTTTTTAATATTAATTTCTTGGAAAATAACCACAGTGCATCTCCCTCTTGCCACAGTTCAGTTATGCTATAGTTTCTTTTAAGGCATAAAAGTATAAGTTGAGTTTTTTGCTTTAATTTGTCAGCATATTATGTTATTTCAGTGTTGTGTTGCAATTTTAATATTTGTTAAGAATGTGAGGAAAAATTTACTTAAATGTTTTTGTTATCATTCTCAGCTTTCTTTCCCTGTTCCTCTCATTTAGTTCAAACCGTTCAAAATTTGCCCGAACATGTG